GCTCCGCTGCTTGTGCTGGGCGTCGGGGGCTCCCTGGGAAGGGACCCCTGCAGTTGGCTGCCCCGCACTGCAGTCACAGACCAGAGGCTCTGGGAGCCCTTCCAGAGCCCTAGGGTGCTCGTGGGGACGTCTGTGCTTGCCCTGCTCCCCAGGGTGGGCCCCTGACCTGGCCTCTGCTCTGCCCCTCCCAGCCCCCTCGTCTGCTCGGCGGCCTTCAGTGCATCCTTCAGGGAGGGTCCCTAACCCGCTGCCCTCCAGTTCTTCCTGTCCCGCGTTGGAGCACGGCTGTCTCTGGCTCACAGACTCACTGTGGCTTCACCTGGCACTCTGAGACTTGCCGCCCTTTGGGATGGAGTCGCCCGTGCTCCTGGTGCACCAGACCCTCCCTGCTCGGGCCCTCGGCAGCCCACCTGCAGGCTCGGGCCGCTGTGTTCCCAGCTGCTGTGCCCGCTCTCATTTCCGTGCAGTGAGTTCATTCTTAAAGGTCTAGCTGGGGGAGCCAGCAGGTGGTGTGGTTGTTAAAGTGCTGGACTCCCACATGGCTAACAGAGGTTCAAGGCCCAGACAGACCTGGGGGCTTGCTTTCTCACTTTCCCTTTTTTTTTTTTTTTTTTTTGCTATAGGGCACGTGCGCTCGCCAGGAAGCCAGGAAGGCAGAGAGCGACAAAGAGACAGAAAGCGAGAAATCACCCCCCCAGGGGAGATGGCCACACCGCAGTTCCTTCTCCTCTATTCTCGTCTCGGGAACTTGGGCATGCACGCACACATACCTGGCATGAGTTTAAGCCACCGGGTCCAGGACTCAAACTGTGGTCGGCTCCATGGGAGTCCAGCGACATAGCCATTACGCCAACTGCTGGTTCCTCTCACTTTCCCTTTCTTTTTTTTTTTTTTGGAGAGGTTTTCACTATAGAGCGCGTGCACTTGCCAGACAGACAGAGACAGAGAGACAGAAAGCAAGAAATCACCCCTCAGGGGGGATGGTCACGCCGCAGTCCCTTCTTCTCCATTCTCCTCTCGGGATCTTGGGCACGCACGCACACGTGCCTGGCGTGAGTTTAAGCCACAGTTTGGGAGGTGAACCGCGGTCGGCTCCATGGGAGTCCAGCGACATAGCCATTACACCATCTGCTGATCCTGACTTTCCCTTTCTTCTTCTCTCTCTCTGGTCAAATTAAAAATAATAATAAATAAAGTTAAATAAATAATTCTGTAAAAACAATGTAAAAAAAAGTCTAGCTTGGGGACCAGCAGGTGGCATGGTGGTTAAGGCAGCTGGATTCCCACATGGCCAACAGCGGTTTGAGTCTGGCAGCTTGAAAATCATGCTGGGCGCATATGCGTGCATGCCTAAAAACTCCAGGAAGTGGATGGAAGAGAAGGAATTGCAGTGTGGCCATCTCCCCTCCACTAGGGGGTGATTTCCCACTTTTCCTCTTTCTGTTTTACTCTGGGGAGGGCAAACTGCCCTATGGCAAAACCTAAAAAGAAAACAAGTTTAGCTGCAAGGTCACCTCCCTCAGGCAGTCTTCCATGACTTTTCAGGTGGACCTGCCTTCCCCTCCCAGGGCTCTAGTACAGTTGCCTTAGGGCCTCTCAGTCACAGCAGGGCTGGCTCTCAAGCAAGAGGAGTGACTGGCTTCCCAGTGTCCTCCCTTCTAGTTGGCTGGGCTGGAGGAGGGGGGCACCACGGGCTCACCTGGGGGAGGCGCCCAGTGGGATTTAGCCCTGCATAGCACCCCACCCGCACCGGGCCTGCTGCTGTGGCTCTCGCCCTTAGACCAGGCAGGGCGTGATCAGGTTTTAATAAGCGCTCAGGAAGGTTCCGGTGAAGAAACAGATGCCCCAGATCCACACCGCTCCTGGCTCTGTCACCGGCTTCTTTATCACCCAGCTCAAGCCCCTGTGACACATGGCAGTGCCCTGGCTCTGGCAGGATAAGGAGTCTGCCGGAGGCCTTCTCAGAGGAGGGAGGCAAGCTGAAACAGGGTCCCCAACCTTATCAGTCCCCTGCAGGCCACGGCCCAGTGTCAGGCCTGGGGAGGAAGCACCCTGTGTCCCCTGCCCCCATGATTTAAGAGCTGTGTGACCTTGGGCTGTCACCTTGCTCTGAGCTACAAACCCTCTCTGTTTGTCAGGAGTCCCTAGGATAAAGCGAGGACGGTCTGAGACAGCGGTGAGCCTAAATGTGGGCTCCTTCCTGGCTCTTGCAGGGAGCCGTTCAGCAGAGAATCCCCTCCCGCAGTCTGGGAGCAGGGTGGAGAGACTTCACTGGCTGGGACAAGGGGCAGGCAGTGACAGTCCCTCCGCAGAGGACCAACAGGGCCACCCTCGCCTACAGAAGTGCACAGGTCAGCTCTGTGAAAACACACCAGGGCGGCCTGGAGCCTGGTGGCTAGAGGAGCCAGGGGTGCAGGGCCAGCCGGGAACCCCAGCCCCAGCAGGACTGAGAGATGGGGGAGGGTGCAGCAGGACCACACCCTACCCACTGGGGGCTCTCCCTCTCCCTCCCCCTCCCCCAGCTCTCTCTCTGGTGAGTGCACACACCCTCAAAATTAAAAAAAGAAAAAGAAAGAAACGCCCTTGGGACAGGCGGAGAGCCCCGGGTAGGGCAGAGCTGGCAGAGCTGGCAGAGCGCTCTCGGACCCAGGGCCTCAGGCTCTGGGGTGGGCTGTTTATAGGACACACAGACACAGGCACACCCCGGGGACACGCTGACAGCCACAGATAGTCCGGATCACACGGGCACACAGGGCCCTCCCTGGGCCCCCGAGAGAGAGACACACACACACACACACACACACGCTTATCAGGCCGAGCAGGCTCGGGCACTGCTGAGTCACCCACAGGCCGCTCAGCCCTGCGAGGCTGGAGAGGGCGGGGCGCAGCTCGTTAGGAGGATCCCGGCCCCTCTGGCTGCGGCCCCGCCTCTCCCCGGCCTCGGCCTAGGGCGGAGCTGCTGTCCGCAGAGGGGGCCAGGGCGTCCAGCCTGCTCCTTCCTGGCGGGATACAGGAGGGGCAGCTGAGGAATACTACTGCCTCCCTTCCAGAGTGCTTGCACACGCTGCCCTGCGTTTTGTTTTTTTACAAGGCCCAGAGTGTTTTTTGTTTTTAAGAATTATGCATTTTATTTATTATTGTTTATTTGCTATAGGGCATGTGCACTCACCAGAGAGAGACGGAGAGGGAAAGTGAGAAAGCAAGTCCTCAGGTCTGGGACTCGAACCGTGCTCAGCCATGTGGGCGTCCAGCGTCTTAACCATCATGCCACCTGCTGGCTCCCTGGGTGTTATTAGACTGGCTCAGCCGTGGCAAAGAGGTGAGCCGGAAGGCATAAAGCTGGCAAGTGCAGAGCCCCAACCTTCAACTCCTAACCACTGGGCAGTGCTGTCCGCTGGGCAGGCGAGTATGCAGGCATGAAGAAGGCGTATCAGTGTGCATGGGAGCTGGGTGTGTGTACCGGGCCTCCCTGGGAGGGACCCCTGGCTAAGGACTGGAAGGGTCTCACGTGTCCAGATTTCTGGGCAAAGGGCCCAAAGCTTTTGGCCCACCCCAGGCTATCAGAAACCCTCCTAGATACGAAGGGCTCAGTCCAGCCTCTGCTACATGGGCTCAATGAAGGCAGAGACCAGGCTCCAGCCTAAAACAGGACCCAGAGAGGACTCAGTGAATTACGACTTTCAGTTCATCTATGTAGGTCTCCCAGCATGCACGCCGGCCCTCTCCTTCTGACCTTTTGTGAGAGACAGGGTCCCCTGGTGTCCAGGCTGACCACAAGCCCTGTCTCCAGGAGCACTCTGCCAGCCCTGCAGTTTCACTTCATTCTCATGCCACCCTGCAATAAAGTATTTTCACCGACCTCTTGTACAGAGGAAACTGGCTTGGAGGGAGTTAAGAGCTAGCCCAGCTGGCATGCAGCAGCCTCGCAACTCCAGAGCCAACCCAAGGGGACATGCTAACTCTGAGAAAGTCCCTTGAGGGACCAGCAGTTAGCGTAATGACTATGTCGCTGAACTCCCATGTAGTCAACCGTGGTTCAAGTCCCAGACCCGGTGGCTTAAACCTCACGCCGGGCGTGTGCGCGTTTGTGCCCAAGATCCCGAGCGGAGATTGGAGAAGGGATCGCTGCGTGGCCATCCTGCCTGGGGGGTGATTTCTCATTTTCTGTCTCTCTGTCTCTTTCTGGCAAGTGCACATGCCCTATAGTAAAAACCTCTCCAAAAAAAAGGAAGAAAAAAAAAGTCCCTTGATTCATTGGGCCTCAGTTTCCCCCTTTGTCCGAAGGCAGTGTAGTGGCCCTCGACTCTCCAGCCTGGCGTTTTCCATGAACGTGCGCGGTGCAAGTCCAAGCCCTGTCCACCGGAGGGTGGGCCTGCTCCCCGTCAGCAGAGTCCTGAGGGGCAGAGACGCTTTACTTCGGTCTTAATAGCAAGGTTTGGGGTTGGGACCCTGCTGCCAGCGGGCCTGACATCTGTGCGTGCCAGACGAGACCTCAGGGCCTGGGCAGTGATCACCAGACCTCCCGGCACCGGTGTGGCCGGGTGGCCGCAGAGGAGTGGGAAGCCGGCCACCAGAGAACCGGATGGCAGCCCTGGGCCAGGCCCGCGCGTGGCTCCCACGGAGCATCGCTAATTCCTCGAATGGGCTTTGCGAGTCGAGGTTGTAGAAACGAACTGACACAGGTCAAAACGTCGGGGCAGGAGGCTCCGCTGGGTCTAGCCAGAGACTTCTCTGAGTCCCCTTACTCCGAGTACACCGTCCCTGGACTCACTACCCTATGGCAAGAACCATGTGGCAAATTACATCATACTGTCGCGGCATGACGTCAGAGGCCACACCAG